CCCCCCCCCCCCCCCCCCACCTTTCCTTCTTCCTTTCCTCCCTGTCGCTCCTCTCTCGTTATTCCATGATGCTTCCCTGGCCACCTTGCTGGGTACAAGAATTCAATGTTTCCACTTTTCATAGTCGCAATGTGATAAAACAAGACTTGAAGGATTGCTCTGCCTCCATGTGATACGTATTAGTCGTGTTGTCTCCTGTCCTCCACCCCTTCGTTTGCTCCATTAGTGCTGACTCAGCTTTGTTTCTATATATCATTAAGTAAAGTTCAGATTTGTTTATTGGGGTGCTCTATATGTTATTGGGTGGAGGACAAAGTCTGAGGACAAAGTCTTGGGGCACAAGTCCAACACCTTCTGGTACTAGCATATCTGTACCTCCAGGTGTAAATAAGCTGACTTAGGTGCCATACTGGAGGGTTCTTCCATCTCTTCGGCCCAGGACACCTCCTTCTCTTATGTTGACCGTGCATCCATGACGTCAGCTGGAGGTGGAAGGCAACCTTTCATGTCTGTGTTTGCTCTGTAGTAGCTGATTGTTCTGTGTGTGACAGTCTCGCTCTGTGTGTGACAGTCTCGCTCTGTCCTAGAGAGGCTCCAGTTATGGTTCTCTGATGACCGCTCATGGGAAATATCAAATCTTCGCCAACACCGGACACTTCAAGGTGGCGTATTGAGACTTCCAAGCACTCGTATCTCATTCTGTAACCTTCTGCAGCTTTCTCAGCAACCTTTTCTGTTCTTGCAGGGAAACGTGGTGGCCATCAAACACGTCAATAAGAAACGCATTGAGCTGACCAGACAAGTTCTGTTTGAGCTTAAACATGTAAGTATGATGTCACCCTGACACTGAAACATCAACTTCCTGCGGCATGGGGCCTTGTGATAATGGGGGTCTACCTGGTGTAGCCCCGTTCACCTCTCTTTGTTTTACTGAGCGCACACAAGGGCTTTCTATGGATGGAAGCACAGGAGGGTTTTGGTGTTGTTGCCGACCAATATTACCGTATAGATTTCCTTGGTGTTGATGGTTTATTAATGTCTGCTGCGATTTCTCTCTACAAATAACCTGTCAGGTCTGGAATACTGACGGAGAATCGGACTTCTAAGTAATGACTTATACAGATTGTGTTCTGGGAGGTACGGTGTTCCAAAACAGGAAGTAACCAACCCAAAGCAGTAGATGGAGGTTTCCTTCTGTTGATGGTGATCTGCCAGCTGAAGGTGTGATATTCGCAATCTGATGGAAGTCAATCATCTCTGTGGTCTTCCCCGGACATGCTGGCTGACATATGTCTTATTGTTGGTCTTCATGTTACCTAGCAGAGGTAGTTTTGGCAGCATGTGAGGTCTTATTGTAGACTTGGTGGTTTTCCAATAACGGATGAGGTCTTACCACGGAAAATAACATTTTTCTTTACCAGGTCTACCCTTCCACTAGACATTTCCCATTAGTGGCAGCAATCTACTGAGAGGGGGTCTGATATTTCTATAGAAAGAGGTCAGCCAGGGTTTTGGTATTGTTGGAGGTCATGCAGTAGTATGTAAGGTCTTCCCATAGAGGTCTACCAGCCGGAGCTGGGCTGTTCTAATACCCAGTGAGACGTAAACGTAGATCAGGGCAACTTAGAGGAATGAAGGGCTTCCAGACGTGGTTGTGGTCACCCTATAGAGGTCTACTGATAGCAGACATGTCCATCTAATCTTCTCCTTCTTCTTTTCCTGCAGATGAGGGACGTCCAGTTCAATCACTTAACCCGATTCCTGGGGGCTTGTATAGACCCTCCGAACATTTGTATTGTCACAGAGTATTGCCCCAGGGGCAGCTTACAGGTAACATCGTGTCAGTTATACAGTACTAGGGTGTAATATGAGGACGCTGAGCCAATCACATCAGTCTCTGTACAGAGGAGCTTACACTCTAATGTCCCCTCCCCCCACACAGTCACATCAGTCTCTGTACAGAGGAGTTTACACCCTAATGTCCCCTCCCCCCCACAGTCACCTCAGTCTCTGTACAGAGGAGCTTACACTCTAATGTCCCCTCCCCCCCCCCACAGTCACATCAGTCTCTGTACAGAGGAGCTTACACTCTAATGTCCCCTCCCCC